GCCAACTATTACGAGTGTAGAGACTGAAACTAAAACTGTCGCTCCAACTAATTTACCCCTCGACTGGAAAAATAAAATAGACAGTTTATCTAAATTGGAGGATGAAAATGCGAAATTAGTCAAGCGTCCTAATATCACCGCCGAAGAGTTTGCGAAATATAAAAGCCCGGCACTAGTAGATGAATTAGAAAAGTCAATCCGGAAAGAATACCAAGATTTTATTAATCCTACCAACCAAGAGAAAATAATAACTATTGCTCGCCAAGTAGGTTATCAATTTAAGCAAGAGGATATTAATCAAGCGGTCAAAGAAAAAGATAACCAATGAATAAGTAAAGGTCTAATTAATCCTAATAATGATACTGAACTGCTAACTGCTAATTTAGTTAAAAAATCAGAGCATGAAACTTTGGTTAATAAATTAAATCAAATTGAAATAGAAAAGAAAGGATTACAGGAAACTAATAAACAAAAAGAAATTCAGTTAAAAGAGTTGAAAACTCAACAGACTAAATCCCAAGAAAAGGAGTCTGATACACTTTGGAATATCTTCCATTGCTTAACTAATGCGGTTAGTGCGGGGGTTGGTTATAAATTAGGTCGCAAAAAGCGAGGGAACCAAGAAGAAATTTTTAAGGGAATAGAGCAAGAAACTGATAAATTAATTAAACAACGAGATGATTTAAAAAAATGAAAAGATGAGCATGTTTGTTCTAAATGTTCTCATAATTATTATGATGAATTGTTAGACAAAGAAAGAAAAATAGTGGAGCAATTAAACCGAGAATTAAAATTAGGATTAACCAAATTAGATTTAGGGCAAGCGATTAATAAAATTAAAGAACTAATTCTTCCTCCTATTGATGTGACCATATTACAGACCCAGTTAGCCACTGCTGAAAGAACCATTGCTGATCTAAGGCAACAATTAAACAAACAAGAAATTAATAAACAAAAAGAAATGGCGGGATCCTTTTGAAAAGAAGTTTTACCCACTGCCATTTATGAAACTATTAACCAAGAATTACAGTTAATTGATAATGCTTCGGACTTGAAGAGTTTATCGGCAAGGGTTTCCCAACAATTAACTAGTCATAATGAAAGTAATAAACAGAAAGCGGTGCAAGAAGTAAAAACTAGTCGGTATACCGAAAGATTTATTTGGATTAGTCTGCTAGTAATTAGTTTAATGGTGATTGGTGGGTTAATAATCAAATTGAAACAAAAAAAAATAGAAAAATCACATGGATAAAACAATAATAAATAGTCAATTAGAATTAACTAAGCAACTCCTAACTAAGTTAAGGAAATATGAAGAATTAAGCAAAGAGCAGAGGCAGTTAGGAGGAAAGTTGAG